AAAGTTTGTGAAGTGTACGCATCATTTGATTTCCAAGGACAGGAAGTCAGTAGTCTGAACCAATGTAACAAAACCGCTGAGAAATCGATCGGTTTTCGAGCAGTTTTAGGCCAGGTTTGGTCGGTTTGTGCCATTACGAGGATCGGCTTTGGAGCGGTTCCAGAGCGGTTTAAAACCGGTCCTATGGAACACGCGACATACTGTTATTATTTCTTACTTTTGTTATCTTAATATTACAATTCACTTATTTATCCTTATTTCCTTCTAATTACTTCCACCTAGGTCTTCATTTATTCACTTATTCCATTATTGCGATGAAATCGTTTCAAAAATCCTTCTTCCTCCCACTTTTGCAGTGCGTAAAAGAAACCGATTTTGAAATGGAATAGGAAGAAACAGTAAAATAAAAAGGGAAATACGGAAACATATGCAATTATTCTAAGCGTGTAAGGGATAGCCGTATTTAGACAATTTATCTTCGACCTGTCAGTGAAGAGACGGAAGTACAAACGTGGGATAAAGTTGTGTGCGAGCATAAAAACAAGTTATCTACAGTGAGCAAGTTGACCGAAAGAAAAATGTGTTTAACAGATATAAACAATTCAGTCTAATTTATAAATTATACTTGTCTCACTGTAGACGGATAGTATGTGGACACATGCGTCTTGGAAACCATGTTACCTGAACTGAAAATATAGCGAGACATTTATACCGAACATAAACCAAATAGGTACGAGCAGTGTTCTTATGTTTCATACCATGACTGAAATACTAACGAAATTAAACACTATGGCGGCGGAAATCCACAGTAAGTAAAACCTTACCTTCTTTCTTCCGATGACCCCTCAATTTTTGTCATTGGCAAACCACCGTTGAACGTGCTTGTCAGTGTCATCTTCCGACAAATCTCTTAAGGGTAGATTTGCATACACCGCGTCTATATTGGTGTTGGCTTTCGAAAATGCCAGTTTACCTTTGATGGCGCTAATATCATGCACCTGTGTCACCGATTTCATCAGGTTAGATTCGATTTCCTATCGTCATTACAGCTATCTAATAAACAATCGTGTTATCGCATGATATAACGTCTTCACTGCGTCCATACGACGAGTTGCGACACCGGACGTTGTTGCTGTAGGCGTAGGAATCCCCAAGTAGTCCGCTAATGAACTCGGCTACTCGGCTGTCATTGAATACGTCTGCAAAGCTCCTTCATTACCATCTAACAGATCCAAAAACAAACGTACAATACAATTATTGACTGTCGACTACCATACATTACCCCGAACCCAATATACGTCCATCATATTTCCATGCACATCATGAAATTACCCATGTACATATCCATGGACTATTCCACAAGCGTATAAACCGGTGAGAATAATTCACCCACAGACTTCGGTACTTTATTCTTTAAAATACTAACCTGAGATTATTAAAAACTACCTTAGTGAATTGAGCATGATAGTAAGATTAGCATGAATTGCAAAACGATTGAACCTTGCATACTGCCACTTAATTTTGAGATTATTCAGATGAAAAATAGGATTGTTTCGGAAATATATCAGCGCATCACGGAAACCTGAAAAATGTTCCCAGTGATGAGGTACAATCGCCAGGTTACTCATATCACATGGCGCGAAGTCAAACCCCTGTTGCGAGCGGCTTCCAGCGATCACTGCCATACGGCTGGCGCTGATCCACTTAAACAAGTGCTTCAATAAGATGTACGCAATTTATGGTCATATTTTCATACAACTTTCATATTTTAATGACGGCTCTGCAATTTCAGTTTGAAACATATAATATTCGTTTTAACAGAACAGCTACTAAGCAAACCGACCAGATGCTGGCCAAAAAGCCGATGTTGCGAACGGGCTAACTGCTACTAGGAAATCTACTTCCACATTATTTCTCGGCAAACCAATATCGTACAAGCGAAGTTTCAATGTTGGTAAAAAAACACAATCCAAAATGTCGGTAGGGAAGAATAAAACATACAGTAAATTTTGTTGCGATGAACCTGTATGTATTAACCACTAGGTTCCCGTGTTCTACCAATCATCTGGCGTGTGTGCTGAATTGGTCTCAAAGAAAGTGTTGATAAGACAGATCTGCAACTGCTTCATGAGTCTCCTAAACGGCCAGAGTAGACTTGTGGTCAGATCTAGAATAATTTGGAAATACAAATATTGTTTGTGTTTTCCTTATTTCCTCACACAGGTGCATGACTTGAAAGGCGTGTACAACTGTAAGCATCATCCAAAGTTTATCAACGGCGAGAAAACTGAAGATGAACTCTTTTACGAATTTCTCAAAACATTTCAACCAGAAAATGATTACGACGATAAAGTATGTTGAAGATATTTATATGCGAAAACTCATCGATTCACTTTTATTTACACCTTGGCGCTGCTTGAAAGTATGTTGCCCTAGTATTTACTGAGAAACTATGGTTCTGTCCCGACGAACTGGCACTGTTATTTTGAGCATAACAAGTATAAACCGGCAAGCTAATATTACTTTACACACTGTTGTAAACGGGGAATCGGTTCACATCAGCCTCCACACAAAAATAATAGTATACCGGCCAAATTAGAGGCAGACTCCGCAGGGGGTCAAATAGCGTGCTAACTGAAATAAATTGGTCGCTACAAATGCTTGACATTATAAAAATTGATAAGCGTCGGAAATATTAAAGAAATATTGTTTCGTGTATTCTGCACAGTCACCAGTGTTTTTTTTATCAAGAAGAAGCATCCTCAATAAAATGTCATTCACTTTTACTTTGTACTAATAATATCCATACCTACAGCACCATGTTTTGCTGACTGAAGGTTATTACATATCACTGAGCAATTTCCCGTTAGTTGATGCCTGCACGCCTACGGCGCCATGCAGTAATGAAATGGGTCACCCAGGAACTTTGTGCTAAAAGTGAACATCTGAAAACAAACGGTACTGCAATCAGGTGCAAAACTCGCCGTGTCTTCTGCAGGGTACAACGTAAATTTACTGCAGGGCTCTTGAAATAATGTCACAGAATTTCATAACCCAACTTTAGATATGCAGTTCCTTAAGCTGTTAATGCGAATTCACCTCTTACATGACTAGAATAAAAGTAAGCTGAAATGGTAGGGTTATTTGTATAATGTCTCTGATAAGACAGTCTTGTCATTTGATCCCCAACAAAGGAAAAGACCACAAATAGGCTAGCATGTCACCGCTTCTCAGCCTCACACAATGATTTACCTGGCAAAAGGTACACTCGACGCATCGTTTTAAAGATCTCAATGCGCTGAGCAACGGAGAGGTACGTTTGTAGCGGGCAATACTGTACAGCACAAAAGTTTTAACAGCTTTAGATGTACAAGTTCAAATATGCACTACCGGTCATCGAAGGTATTTCTTAGCTAACATTATGTATAATCGGACCAAACATTGGAGAGATGTATCTGCTGTCGAAGCCTAAGTCGACCTCTGACGTTCTGCGCAATCCACCAAACGTTAAACTTGATTCCGCCCCACTTGGCGATAGTCAAGTAAATTATTTCCATGAGCTAACATTATTTGGCCTGACATGCCCGTTAAATTCTAAATAAAGTCCACGGAAGTGGTGTTGATCCCTCGTAAGGAATTCCACTGGTGAGTTTTGTGCGGATAAAACTACCGTAATATCTTCATTTCTTTCCACAATGAAAAAGAAACTGAAACGACGTCCTACTAACTCCTCGTGGTTACAAAGAGAGTTTTCTTCAACACAGTTCACCAAACAGAGCGTCTTCTATCTTATTTTACTGAAAAAGTGCTTACCACCACAAGTGGGGTGTCCCGCTGTTAGAATTCGTACGGAGGTTAGCAACATATAGTGGGAAGTTGGAAACCGTAAGCAAGAGTGAAGTGGGAGCGAGTGACAAATACAGCTGAATGGGCAAGTAATAATTGGGTAAACCATCGTGACACGATGGGTACTTTGCTGGTTCAAAGATATCAAATGATAAGTGTTAAAGAGGACCAGATTTCCGAAAACTTTTAAGCCACAGTAAGGAAAATATTGCGTTGCTAACAACCACATTGACGTGACATGATTGAGAAGGTAAAACATATGTAAGAGTAAGAAAGACGGCGACAACTGAGTTCTCCAACCATTTGACTGAGGCTAGCAAATAAAAACGGCACTGAGTCGCGCAGCTCTTACAACTCATTTTATTATTGGTTTAAAAATTCATTCAGTCAACTTAGGAAACATAATTTAAGTATCCGAAGTTTCATTTTTAAAGTATCTTTTCCTCAAAATGCAATACTGAAGGACAGTTGAAACTGAAAGAAAATCAACGAGTCACATGTGATGGAGTGTGGATAAAGTTCGATTCAGTATGAAACAACTGTTGCCGCGTGGATATTTGCAGCAGACTGTGAATATTCTAACATCACTAAAGTACTAGTAAGAGAGCAAATACATCACGTGAGGTGGCGTGCCACCGTAAATATGTCTCACCTCAGATGATGGGAAAAAAGAACTGGAAAAATTCTATGGAACCGGGCGTGCCCTAAAGTACATACATCCTCTTTTAATTATACAACAGAGGATCAGAAAAGACGTAGCAGTTTTTGGTCGAAATCTTGAATTTTTAGAGCTGAAAATATAGACACCATATTATTTTTACTGACAGTTTTTTTATTTCGTGTGCCAGATTAAGCTTCAAATTTTGTTTGAACTGAGATCAACCACAAGAGCAAAGAACAATGCGTATCAAAGACTGATATCAGTTTACTATCAAGTAGTCAAACTCCGTTGATTTTTCGGATAACTATTTTCGAGCAACCTAAGCTTAAGGTTGAAAGATACCAGACTGCATTTGCAATGTAATCAGGTCTACGCAGTGGGATATTCTGCCGACATAATACTCAATAAGTTAACAAAAAGCAAACAAGACAATAATCCCTTTGGTTCTCAGACAAGCTCCAGTTCTCATTCTCTTAGAGTTGAAATTCAATTAGGTACGACTGCTCTTAAATTTTATGATTACTTTGTCACCAAAGACGTGCATAAGTAGATTTATTTGAAATAACTTTTAAATTTCATAAGGTCTTTTCAACAAATCTTGGTACCGAAACTTTTTTTCTCTCGCCTGTTGGTACACAAACACACACCTACAAACACATGCAGGTTACGTTGGACGAGTTCCTCAACTACTACAGCGGTGTGAGTGCATCAATAGACAACGATGCCTACTTCGACCTGATGATGCGAAATGCATTCAAACTGTAGAAGACCGCGAAGTCCACTAGCACGTGCGGGTTACGTTGCACTCGGAATCAGTCTTTTTTTCTTTATTTTAAGGGTAATGATTCCACGATTTGCGACTGCTAGTTTACTGTTTGTGCGCAAGCATGCATCGCGTGTGATCTTCGTTTGGGCTTTTTCTCCAAATCCGGTTGTTTTTCGGTGTTTTACCGCTCGCAATGCCTTTCATCCTCCTCACCAATGTTTCAACCAACATTGTCATTGGTACAAAGGGAAGTTTTATGCATGCCTATTTGAAAGAACACAGGATGTTCATTTTGACTTCCATTCAGTTTGCATGCACTCCATCAGAACTTCGCTTTTACCCGTGTATTCGAATATCGGTAACAATGAGACAACATTTTGCAGTAGTTACCGAATGAACGTCCACGTACAGAAGTAAGTGCTTAGATGCTATTCAAATGGTTCAAGCAAATAGCCTAGCAAACTAAGAGCATTCTAGTTCTATCAACGTAATGACGGTGTGGCGAAGCGAGACGTTTTAGCCTAATCCCTGTAGACAGAATAGCGACGCCCAAAGCTGACAACGTGACAGTTCGGGTCGGGGTCGTTCTGCCCGCTAAAAGGATGCGTACCTTTGGTCACTCAGGGTTTATCACAATGAAAAAGCAGTCGAGTTATTGTGTTCTTTATATTTTTCTAGTCACAATCATTTGAGGTGAACAAATTTCTAGAAACAACTAGCATTCGCTCTTAATAAGTAGAGTGGAGACGATAAGTGGAAGTAGTTTATACGGAGATTGTACAAGGGGTAGAGATTGCCAGGTCAGAACTGACATTATAAATTTAGGTCATTTGACAGGAGGAATTTTATGGCTGACACTAGAACACTATAAACAACAGACTCCCATGAACTTTATGCGAGAAATCTGCGTTGTAAGGTGGGTGGCACAACCACGTCTACAGAAGGTTATCTATTTGATCGTTTAAAACATGAGGGCTTCAAGTAAGAGGTGATTTTAAGGTACTTAATTATGAGTAAAATCACAAACACTATCCTTGGGACAAGTGCAGCGAAGTTAAAATAATCCGTTACACTCACTATGGAGCGGTTCCTTTCAATGGGCCAGAGCTCAACGACCTAAGATTTACCAAAGATGTATTTTGGACACTGCACGTGTTTTTAGCTGCTTGTGATCAGTCGCCATCGATATGGAGGAGGAACATACCCAACGAGGTGAAAACGGAAGTGTATAGCGTACTGAACCCCAAAGTAGTACCAAGGACATAGAAACAGAAATCGTGCAGAAATCAACGATGTGTCATCCATCAAAAGGAAAGTAGGCGTCGAATGCGATGGCCATTTCCTGGGAGTGAACCACCAAAGGAGAAATACCATTTTTTTGGAACCGACAGGCTTAAAAGAAAGTTATTCCTCGAAAATATTGTTGCTGCGTATCACGTAATATTCTCTTTTTACATACAGAAGCATACCAAGTGAGTTCTTCTCAAAACTTATCGGTCAAAATGATGTTTCAACAAGTTTGGTTGTTATCATGCAATTTTTAACCAAAAATCGGTATCATTCCTAGTCGAGGTACGCTATTCGATAAGAACACTGAAAGCAGATGATTTCCAATAAGTTTTTACATTCTCACTTCAGGTCACACGGGAGGAGTTCATTAGCTACTATTGCGGTCTCAGTGCATCCATTGACAATGATGTGTATTTTGATCTCATTATGCGAAACGCTTATAAACTATGATTGTGCGTTCTATCCGCCATTCAATGTGTACAACTTATTATTTTGCATGCAGATGTGCAACTTTGATTTCCGTCGAATGTGGTAAATGATTTCAGTCTATAGGCGTGCTCAAGCTCAACGATGCTGAGCATAGCCCCCTCATCCCCAACCCGAGTTATTTTCTCATCTGGATTTACTGAAGTGACCTGTATTATTCAATCGAAAACAAAATGCACGCATCCAAGAGCCTCATCTTTTTGTTTCAATACCTAGGAACGTTGTTTCATCTGACAGCGCACGAGGTTCGTGAAATCAGCTCCACAACTAACAGCACGCTGATTCATGCTCGAGACTCCATACGGTTGGATAAAACGGGAAAGTAATACTTAAGTGGTTTCTCTTGACGAAAAACCGAACACGCTTTTTCAAGCAACTCACACACCACTCTCCTACTACTTAAAATCACTGAGCCGAAATGGAAGGGTTTTACCTACCGCCAGTCAGAGAAAACATATATTATTGCCCACAGTCAACAATCAGTGAAGTGAACTACAATGAAATATCTGCTGAACCCACGTCAACGCGATTCCCTCAAACTAAAAGACGTGAACGACGAGTGAAGGAGCACGAATATGGCACTTAACGTAAGCCTTGAACGGTCCGCGATTCCGAACTTGCTAACTACACCTCATAGGCCATGGAAGCAATGCTCCAGTCATCGTATCGGCATTATGCGAAGCATCACAACGACGGACGGGTGGTCCGCGCACAGTAGGAAAGACTAACGAACGTGTATAACAAAGAGACAGCATGATAAGGTCTACATGACTTTACAGATTCATTCACATTCTGAATGTTTTCGGTAGAAACGCTGTGGAACAAGTTGCTTCCAGTTATCGGTGCGCCTCAGAAAAAAACCACCATTCACAGTTGCGTAAAAAATGCTCCGCAATCAGACAGAGTGGAAGGAGTCATTTGCTCATCAAAGATTGTGAGACTAGCATTACAACAGTGTGGCAAATACCGTATCTGGTCTTTTATAGATGCTATTCTCACAGTTCCTTCCTAGCATTGTTCTCTTGCATCTGACATCTGTTAAGGTCTCACGTACACCAGACTTTGCCTTTATTCATATCCGAAGGCTTATAACATGGATGACACTTGAGCAACCCGCTGAAGGACTATACGCCAAAGATTGCAACGATTTTCCGCCTTCCTACGGTTATCCTCATCCTGGAAGACCGCGCAATTCCCTAAATCCTCAAGTCTGTTTTCCTATGGCTTAAACACGCTCTAATATCGTTGAACAAATCCCAACTTGTTGCGCGCTAACATCCTTTTAGCACGGTTATTCGGTTTTGATATTGTTTATGTAACTTCCAACTGCTTAAAAGTGATACACAAATTTTATCGAGGTTTTGAATAGATAAACCGATTCTTCACGTATAGCACTACTACGATGGCCTTTCCTGTGGATCTTCAGTGAGACTTAGGACAGTCAGCAGTCATCTGTGGGACCTCACTTCAAGAGCTCCTGGAAATCCGTGGGGTAAAGTGATAGTCAGCGTCCACCGTGTCAGAACATGAGGTGGGTTATGTGAATTTGTTACTATCAATTGAACTAAGTACCAAAAGCCTGCCAGTAAGATTGGATTCAAGGACTAATCCATATTCATTCTCTAGGCCAGATCACCAAGTGTGTCTCTTGTCTCCGGAAATCTAGATTCATTCCCCAAGTGAACATCCCACTTACAAATCCAATTGAAACTACGTATACCACTTTAGTTTATCATACTGAATCACGCTAAGGTACAGTGAATTAAACAAACATATAAGCTTAGTGGTTTCCAAGAGGGACGCAAACAAGCTGAAATGGTTTCAGTGCAGTGGAATAAAATACTCTGATGGCTGTGAGGACGAACGGATCTGAATTTTACCTTGAATCGCTGGACAAATAGCCAGATACTGCAATCAGTGGCACACAAATTATATAAAAACCGATCTCAATTTCCTACCGGTTTTACCCCTGTACCATTCCATTGTACATTCAGTTTTAGCAATTAACAGTGAGTTGCTCAGAAACACCGATGGTTAGCGGCTGCAATAAGCAAACAGAAATTGTACATCTTTTAGTCGATACCCTCTTTGTGAAGATCAATTATGTTCTAAGCATAGGTCTGCAAAACGCACACGGGTCGGTTTTTCTTTATACTAACAATCAAGAATGGAACGAAGAAAAATGGCTGGAGCGTGTGAGAAAAGTTTATTTAAACGTGCGCAACAGATTAGATTACTCGCAAGTAATCAGCACGCGAGATTAAAAAGCATTAACGTGTGAGTGCAAGTTGTGCATCAGTAAATCGAAATACGTGTGTGAAGATAACTGAGTATGGTACAGATGTAACCGGGTGACTAAATTACGGCAGTTGAGAAAGTATATTTATCCTCAGGTGGGGTAGAGACAAAACAGAACATAAACAAATAGAGGGATAGGAAGTAGTACAAATATTCAATGTGAGATTGTGGTAGGATTGGATGTTCACATTGTCAGCATAAGCGCCGCGGATGGAAAAAGAGTGGATGAAGGAAATAAAAAACGAACCAATGCAAAGAAATAAGTACTTGAAACATGAACTGAACGAAGATGGACAGGACGGTGGACGAATCTCAAGGAATTGAAAAAACCACAACAGCCAGGACAAAATGGATCACAGACTGGCTGGATAAACGTCCAATTGAACTGAATGAAGTGTACGAATAAATTAAAACAAAGCTCAGCGGGCAGTCGGTTATGGAGGGTTTACAAAAAGACTTTTACTGGTAAAAGCGGTAGTTTACACCGGATCCGAGGCATACCGTATATGTGCAGAGAGCATTGGAGAGTGAAACTGGGAAACGGGCATTTTCGGTTCCTATACACGGCCGCCGACATGGATCCATTGGCAGAAAAACATCTGACAAGAAAATGGGTAGATGATCACGACAATAAATAAATCAGACAGAAACAGGATTACGCAATAAGGCATTCAAGGGATAGACGCCAAGCTCAGAAGAAAGTATAACGCATTTCTAAAACGAGTTGAGAAATGTAAATAACGAAGGATTCACATACCACTGGGAAATGATCATCGAAAGTACTTGGCACATGAGACGCAGATAAACTTTTCCAGGAATATCTCCGAATCAAGTACGGCAATGTGTGCCGCACGGCCGATTAAATTGTTAGCTGAACTGCCCAAGGAATAGTGAATATCGTACCGGACTACGGTGGTTCGAGAGGACTTGATCAACCGTTGCAGAATGTTAGTGACCATTTCCATATAAACAACACCTAAATGGTGGAAACAGAAGAAAAGGAGGGAGAGATAATGGAAGCTCTCAAATATGGTGATATCGCAATGCGTGTGTGAACCTGTGGTAGAGTAGGGAAACACACCACACCACAATACTGGACTAACGCAAATGGTTAACAGAGAAGACAAAGGTAAGCTGATTAGAAATGGGCTCCTTGGTGGTCGCAGCAATAGTTAAATAATCGAATCAGAGCGTCTGCAAATTCATTTCGCGATTAGGCGAAACAACACAATAATTTTCGGAAACGGTTTAAGGATTTGTGTAGAAACATGGAATATGAGAATGAGTAATAACCGCCAGTCGCCACTAAACGATCATTACAGGCTACCACGCGACAGAAGAACCATTGGTCTAAGGTAAACGTGTCAGGGCGAGACATAAGCGGTTCACTTTAAAAAAACACTGGCCTGGTTCCTACGACAAGTCGCGCATGGAACAGTCAATCGGAAGAGATGGTCACCTGCCAGCCAAAAACCAGCGTGAAAAAGATCCAACGTGATAGTACGTAAACACGTGGTCCGGGAATTCCAATTCGCCACTTAGATAACTTGTTTCCTAATCACCAATATGCTTTTATCTCTTTGCTGCCACCTTCTGATATTGCTTACGACTCACGAAACAGGAGTACAGGAGACTGCTAGTAAGATGATGCAAGGGACCCAAATTATACTACATTACATGTATGGATATCGAAAACTGTCAAAAAACTGAAGGCAATGATAACGGAAATTCGCTGTTTAGTCGGGAGAACTTGTCTTAAAAGAACATTCACACAACTGTGCTCCATACAAGTCACTGAGTGATAATGTCATCTAGTGATCCCTTGAAGTCAATGAGTCGCAGATATCTGATAGGGTCCAGTTAAATTAACACACGAGCAAGTCGAAGAAGATTGCGCCTCTCATAAGACACAAAAGAACGGTCTTTTCAGTGGCAGTAACTCACCCAAGGTGGAACTATCGCGGACGGCCGCTTTGCATAGCTCGATTCGTGTTGAATGATAGGGAACATACCGATCTTGTGGACTGCTGACCAACAGCACATAGCGGAACCAATCCAGTCCGGCGCTTGCACTCAAATGATACAAATACGTATTGCGTAGATCAGTATCGTCCCGTAGTCGTAGTTGGGACAAACTCTCAGATTTTTTCCATTTTTGCATCACCCACATGCCCATATTCACGAGACCGGAAGAGTTATACACTGTACCCAAATGTGGTCCGCTTAAAGACAAAAATGTGTGCAATCTGGGAAGGTAGGGTGCCAGTAGAGGATTGCAAAGTGCGGCCCGAACCAGAACACAACCCATACTGTGGGCGATGAAACTGTATGAAAACAGAAAAGAAAAAATCACAGTAAGGATGAATATCGCGGTCTAAGAGAATTGTGTCATTGGAGATATAATGAGCGAAGACAAGTGTAACAGGACTATTGGAATACGATCAAGATACGGATGACGTACTGAAAGGGTCAGAGAGTATTCTCTTCGCTCCTAGGGTTTTCTGATTATTAAGTGTCAACTAAACGTGCTGATTTCCACCAGGAAGCGCTCACAATAAGTAAGAACAATCACAGAAAAATCATCTGCCGGGTTTAAACGTTTATTCAAAACTATTTACTTAGGACAAACCTAAGGAGAGTGCCAATCCTAGAGACGGTAGAACACGGGAACATAAAAGTGGATAAGGACAAGAGATGCAAGCATCAATATGCTAATCTTGAATACGCAGAATTTACAGATTCCCGGTTGGATAAATCATCAGTAGTGATCTTCAAATCTTTCACTTTATACGTCCTTTGGTAGTCTCCACCTCAAATCTATCACGTTAAGGTTGATTTAGGGTAGTTCAGTGTGAGGACATTTGGTGAAGAACCAGAATTTGTGCACATTTTCGGGCGGTCACTGAGAATGGCCCGGTTAAGGAACATTGAAGTGGGAAAGAAATCACCTCATTGGTCGGGCACACTAGTACTAATCCGAGAAAAGAAACGTAAGGATGAATGAAAAAACTACCCCACCATACAATGATTCTGATAGCAATGTATGAACCAAATCTGTGTTCGTGAATATATGCAAGCAGTCAGATCGAACAGCAACCGGAGGACGAAAAGTATATGAACGATTTAGTTCCCACAAGGAGAATGTGTGATATGTCTTCATTGAAAGGCACACCGATTACGAGCGAACAAAACACAAAACAGAGATGGATTTAACGTTCACGTAAGATCGTGTCAGGTGTCGATCAGGTGTTACATACACGACGAACTCAGCGAAAACAGGTTTAAACAGATGACAACGAAGTGGGGCAGATGTCTCAATCCCGAGTTTCTCAGCGTTTTTTTTGTGAGAACAAAACGTAACACCAGGTCAGGCAACTACAAGAAACATGCTGACTCGGCTTCCGTCAATCTTATACCGGGTAAGATAAATAGGAGCAAAAATGGCTCGGGGTAGACTCGTGATTCGCAATTTGCGGATAAACTACATATAATTTTACGGGGAATGGGGGAGGTATTATAGGCGACGAGAGACAAACGATATCTCTTCTACCAAAAGCCCGTAAACACTACACTGATTCTGTCACCTTGCAATTTGATTCATTTTCACTTTACTACTCAAAACTTGTTACCTCCTGGGTCTAAATATTGTCTCTTTTCTGTCTCGGTCACCGTACATCTCGGTAATTACACACCGCGCTGTGTTGCTTTCCTGTTTCGCATCAAAAATTTATCCTTACCAATTTTTGTCCACTTGAATTCAGTTTCAAAAATCATTACCATGTAAGATTCGCAAGGTGCTGGTTCCCATCTCTCAGAAAACAGCCAGAAACCGGAACGAGTGAACTACACAACACCCACTGCTGGCGTTGCCACTGGGCCATGATTTTCGCTTCAAAAACAAGAACAATAAGACTGTTCTCGTGCAAATGTTCTCCCGCATATCTCCTTTACAACACGTCCTCCAACCGTACGATCTACTTGTTTTACTGAAGCTGACAACTGTGGGATGAAAATGATATAAACTTTATGTAGAAAAACAATGGCATGCCTGATCCGAGTTGGTGGTTCGTCGAGTCCTTCAATAAAACTGATGATCTCATCGACCAAGTTGTCACGCATCGTATCGAAGCCTGCAAACGTATCGTGTTGATTGCCTTCGGACATCAGGAATTCCAAACGACAATCGGGTAATGCTAGTTGCAGGTAGATTCGAACCAAACGCAGGTCGCTTGCGTTGCCTGGGTAAATTTGTGTTGGGATGGAAAACGTTCGTTTGTGAGACGAGGAGATTGTAAACTAAAAAACAGTAAACGACGAATCAATCTATAAAACAAATTACACTAAGGAACCTGAGCGAAGTGAACTGTTTGAGATGTAAAGTGGAACCTTGCAAGTCTGTCGATTATAGGACGAGGTTGTTGAACAGTATGGAAAAACATATTGCATCTATTTCAGACAAGCTCCAAGATTTTCCGAAATGCGTGAATAACGGTACACAAAAGTTCTGGGTGTATTCTGGGCCTTAAAAGTACAAGATGTTGCTGCAGTACTAGGTTAGTGAAGTTCTAAACCTTAGTGTTTATATATATATATATATATATATATATATATATATATATATATATATATATATATATATATATATCGGATGTCGGATGAAATGTTCTCATGCATACATAAGTGTTTGGCTTTTGCGAAACCCAATCGTCTGCAGCATCGACGTGACAACCGTCATGTTTACGCTGCCACAGTTGAGCCAGTTATGTCCGATTCAGAAACATAGCCGCTGCTGGTGATAATACATGAAGGTTTTCAGCATTCAAAAATTGGTGTCTTCGTAGGACTGCTCGAATCTGATGGGATCACCTAATTGCCTTAGCGTCAAGTACACGACATAATTCATTAAATTGAATACTAAAGCTCACCAGGTTGAAGTGGTTCAGACACGTGTTAGGCATGTATCGGGAAAGGCTTACTCAGTATGCTATGTTCGCTGAACTGGAAAGTACTTTAAAAAATGAATAATGATGGCTAGTCTATGAAGTTGAACAAGGGTAACAGACCTGATCAGTCGACCCAGTCACGGCGCTTTTCTATATAGTCTTAGGACTGTAGGACTTACATCAGTAGATTACGTGAACGACTTCTTATGGCTGATCAAGCTAGCAGTAGTTTGAATACTTAAATCAAAACTGTCACGTGAACACAACATGGGAACTTTTCATAACTCTCGGGCACGTATCCTTTATATTGTTTCGAGCCTTTAGACCTATTCAGTCCTTCTTTATGATCATGTTTTTTGTACATACACTACCATTTATACTCAATCTACGGACTACACGTATCCAGCGTACCGTCGAAATACCCGGTGAGTTGCGCACACACTTATCAACTGTTAGTTACAGGCACACATCTATTTACCAATGACTAAGTAATGTTTGTATATGTGATAAATTAGACATCTACGTTGTGACCAACTTTTGAAAAAGAAACCAGGCCAGCAATGGCGGTGTACTCGACACCAAGTAAGGAAAAAACAACAGTGTTTCCGTCGGATGAATTTAATGCCGTGAGGATACGGGAATGAACCATTTTGAACGACTTATAATAGACTATGAACAACGCAGTGTTTCGACGAGTACGTTTCAATTCTTCAAGTTATATATATATATATATATATATATATATATATATATATATATATATATATATATATATATATATATATATATATATATATAATGTAATAATTGGTATGAAATCAAGCCTGCTGCCAACGCAGCAACAACAATTACAAAAATAGGGAGGTGGGAGTAGAATGCAAAAAAAAGAAATCGTTTGTAAAACATAACACATGATGTGGTTGCCTTTTTCACCGTAAACTTTTGATGGTTTCTGCCGTTTTGTGTCTGAATGACATTTTTCGTGGTTATGGGACACGGGAGTTTGACAAACCGCACAACTTCGATAACCAATGACAATCCTCGTCACTGGGGCCCCAACCAGAGGGGCGGGAAGCACTAACCGAAGTCAATGCTGACGCTAGCTCGTTCCTACCTCTAGGTCAAGTCATGGCCTGATCACCGTGTCGCTTCTTACAGGCTTGTCCATCAAGTCCGGATAGAGCATGGAAAGACAGACGATGGGCAAGCATTCGCAAAATATGACCGAGCCACCGAAGGCGGTGCACAATGATCACTTCGTTAAGAAAGCGGTTATAAGTGTCCGACACACGACAGCGCACTTCGTCGTTATTCACTCGATGTTCCCAACAGACGCGAGTAATGCTTCAGAGATATTGGTTGTCGAACACGGAGAGATGCCGAGCAACCACAACGAAAAAGGGACAGGTCTCGCTACCGTACAGTAAAAGACTACGAACCGCAGCGACGTACACCCGACCCTTGAGAGAGAGCCGGATATCACGGCGACGACACAGGTGACGCAGGTTTGTAAAAGCAGCTATGGCTCTCGATATTCGTGAACTGATCTCTTCTCCAAAACTATGTCCAGCTGTTACCAAGCTCGCAAGGTACTTGAAGCAGTCAACAAACTCAGGCTGATTACCACAAAAGGTGAGTGCAGGCACAGGCTCTTGCGTATCATGCAAAAGTACTTTGAATTTGGAAGCCGTAAAGTACATACCATATCCGGGTAACTCAATCGCCAAGAGATTCAGAGCGTATTGAACTGTCTTTGGGCTGTCACTCAGCGAGGCGATAGCACCTACCTTCTTCAAGTTGAAAATTTTGTTGCCCGGGAGGAGCTGAACTCCACTGTTTGGGAGATCAGAAACACTCTATGGTAAAGTGAAAGATATAGGACAGTCTTGTCGTACTCGACTGGAGACAATAAGAAAGCACGAGAGCAGATTATAAGCCCAGATCCGACCTGAGATGTGACGATAAAAGTCTTTGAGGACTGGTACACTCCCCAGGTACTCCATTTCTCGACAAACTATTCCATAGTGCAGTCCTATCGACAAAGGCAGAGGTCGCGAAAATGCTCAGGCACACGATGACTTTTAGTCTTTGAAAAGTGTGAAGGCAACCTAGATGCTGTCGGACAGTAAAGATTTGATCTATACATTCACGAGCGGTATGAAACCCAGCTCACTTCTCACGAGTCTGCTCTTCACACACTGGGTACAACCTGCGAAGCAGGACAGATGCAAGGAGCTTCAACGCTATTGGGATAAGGTATACACCCCTTTAGTTTCAGTTCAGTTTATACAACCACTAACCTAACACTTCTATGCTAGGGTTTCGGTTGTTACCTTCCAGCATCGTCGAGTCCAGGGAGAAAAGAACAGAAGCATAAGGTAAAAAAGATCAAAAAAAATCAAAGTAATAAGCGCAAATCAGGAGGACGAAGAAGGACTCTGAACGCAACTACGCCACTGGCCGCGACACATAGCCATATCACTTAATGTCTCCAACCATTTGGAAGGTGGGTTGCGTGGACCACAACCCGGAAGTCTAACGCGTCCTACGTGGCCAAGTGCACTGGTCAACGTTTTCATACCTATTTGCCATATTATGGACTGACCACCTCGACTTACCTTCCAATCATTGCCTGCCTCAGAGAACAGCGTACGCCGAGAAGGCCTATTGGTGGACATGCGTAACGTGTCTCAACCACCTCAATTTATTTAGATTCAGTACTTGATCCACAGACTGACCTCAGATTACCAACACATCGATGCTCGAACACCGACAGTCTTTGTCTCTCTTCTACTCTTAATGGCCATGTTTCTGAACTGTATGGAAGAACGGACCTATCCGCCTATCCGCTGGCAAAAACCAAACGCACCTTCTGTATATGCGAGCACACTTCATCTTATATCTGTCCATCTGGTGAAATGTAACTTCCCAGGTAACACAACTTATCTACTTCAGCTAGAGCTTCTCTTGTCAAGACAAGATTTGGTATAGCGCCAATCCAGTCTTGCAGTAGCATTTTACACTTTGAAAGTGGAAAACGCACCCCAAACATTGCTTCACTGTTGTCTAGGCTGTTTAGGAAAGCTTGATACTTACTCGGATCTTCACTCAGAAGAACAACGTCGTCCGCGTACTGCAAATCATACAGTTTACTGTCTGACCAAGGATCCATGCCATTAATTTCACAAGATAAAGCTATTTCAAAAATGAAGAGGAAGAGCCAAAGGGGGAAACCCTGAAGAACACTGCTTCTCGTGATGAACTTGGGCGAGAAATCACCGCGGCACGAACTCGGCTTCGGCTGTTTGCGAACAAGCATTAGAAAGAGATAAATTTATCTGACACACCCTTCAATGAGAGGCAGCGCCAGAGAACTGTGCGGTCGACGGAATCGAATGCCGCTTTCAGATCAAGAAAGACACAGATTGTGGGTGCACGGAAGAGGTGTCTGTGCTCCAAGTTTTGCCGAAGGGAGATGTAGTCGATACAACTACGACCGGTGCTGAAACCGGCTTGATTCTCACGCACACGCGTTTCGCGGGCACTGCATAATCGGTTTGGACGCGATACTTACCAAGCTTATTCCTCTGTGGCTTTCACAAGAGGAACTATCACCTTTCGTGTAAATCGGCACAATCACCGATTCGTACTATTACCTGGGAATCTGCTTACTATCCCAAATAATGCAGAGGAGTTTTTTTTAACTCCGAAACCAAAGATGCGCCTCCATCCTTGAACAATGATGGAGAAAACCCATCCGGTCCAGCGGCTCTGTACCTCTTTAAGTAATCTATTTCTCGTATAATCACCATCTCTGATGGAGGAGCGATATCCACCTGCATCGTTTCTCTGGCAGGTATATTTGGAAGGTCCGCCGTTGACGTGGGCCAACTGAATTGTTCCTTAAAGTGCTCTGCTCAACGGTCCAGACGACGGCCCTGAGAGCGAATCAGTGAGTCATCGAATTCCTTAATTAACTCACTTACACTAGTCTTCCGTGGACTGGTGCTCCCAATCAAACGGTAGAGGCTGCGAGTATTGCCAATAGACACAGCCTTCTCCATTTACCGACACTTCGCAATCCACCACTGTTCACGGTCACTTTTCAGCCTCTCAGTCAGTTAGCGTCTCAAGGGTTTGTGCACTTCATTGAATGTGGCATCCGGAGGGACGCATCTGTGAGCATCCAACAGAATAACTGATGTCCAAGATAGCCATCGTTTGTGAGACCAACTTAAACCAGAGTCCTGAGTGGCATTGGTAAACGCATACAAAGCTTCCTTCATCTGAGCCTTGGACAGCCGGTTGCCTACATAATCGTGTAGACAACTTCGTCTGGAAGTCGTATCGCCGGTTATCGTCCAAAAGCAACCGCGCGGGACAGGTGGCGTTTACGTTGGTGCAACCACAGACGAGACCTAAACGAAAGCGAGCACGTACCAAGGCGTGATCCGAGTTCACAGGCGTAGAACAAAATGAACGACAATCTTCTGTCAATCCACGCCAACGGTGATCAATCACAATGTGGTCAATCTGATTCCAACGTTGTGAAGACGTAGGAGGACGCCATGTGAGTCTATGCAGCTTCCTATGGCAGAAGTTTGTACTCACCAGAAACAATCTGTGGTCAAAGGACAGATGAATAAGACGATCGCCATTATCGGCACGAACAGCCGGGGAAGCGAACGGGCATACAATGTGCCTTTCGGAATCTCCCAAACGGCCAACTTGGGCGTTGTAATCCCCAGCAATGACCACCACGTCTGTTGAACGCACGCTTCGAAGCAGCTGAGACGAATTCCAATAAAATTCGTTCTTGGTCTCAGAGAAACTGCAGTCACTCGGCGCATACACAGACACGACGAACACGAATCGACGCTTCAGCCTGGTGCCGTTGACACGTACAGAACCGTCCAACGGAACTGCTGACTGGAATCCAGTCTAGCAGTGCACCCTCAGCTCTCAAGCTCAAAACAATCCCAACGCCAGCTTGACCACGAGCACTAGACACCGAATCACCCGACAAGCGAAAAGTGAAGTGAGGGACTGAGGTTGCATCCGAGGTGCGGAGAGTTATCACAGAAGTGGGGTCTTGTATGCGTGTTTTGGAGACACAGCATACATCTATTCTAAAAGTGTCAAGAGTTTTGGCAGGGACAGTCTATTGCCCTCTCTCACAGTGTGCGGACGTTAAAGGCACCCAACTGAAATGGACATTTAGGCTTAAGAAGTGCATTCGACATATACCCAACTCCTGAGCTACTACTTTCATCAGAGTCACAATTACCCAAGCCGTTTTGCATCGATCTTAAACTAAAAGAGGGAAAATTGGTAAGGCCCATTACAGGAAAGATACTGGAGGTTTCTGGGCGAATCATACTTCGCGGATTCCCACATCCCAGAAAGGGTTATTCTTTAGGAACCTTGAACGGAGCCTTTGACTCAAAGGTTTTACCCACAAGGCAGTGGGGCGTTAATCCAGAACGGGAAAGTGACTCAAGCACCCGTGAAGGAACTTTTTTCGATCTGTCACGCGAGACCTGTTTGTTGCAAGCATCTTGTCTTGTCTTCTCTGGTGCTTTCTTATGAATCTGCCTCTGGGATTCAGTCCTCAGCCCCAGGCACCCAATAGATCAAGCGGAACGTGAACGGAGCAGCATCCTTTGGGTCGGGGGTTTCCCAGCTTAGGCGGGCAATAGCTGCCCAGTGAAGTGCGATGACTTCTCCCACCGTCGAGAGAAACCCTAGGTACTCCACTCCTACGTTCATCTAGTGGAGGTTTTTAGATTGGTAAACTGTAGTAAGAACCAGATGTTGCCCATCAGCTGGTTCTGAGACTGGACTTCGTCTGGCCTCTACCCATTGATCTGTCAGGCATGATTGCATCTCCGGCTTAAAGAAGCCGTTCTGCATGGCTCTTCGGGTCATGGAGGCACGCAAGCCATCACACCACGCCAAAGTGCATTCTCATCGCGATGGCGTATAGCGATTTGGTCGATCTGGGTCCATTGTTGAATCCAATAGGGCGGATGCCATGTGGCATACCTGGGATTAGAACGTCTGGAGATCGTACTGGGGAGGAACAGGCGATGGTCAGAGCGGAGTCAAAAGCCGTTCCACGTTTTCAGAGCGACAGGAATGGAGGCCAAAAGGACACCCTAGATGTGCCTCGTTCGATGGTAGCCGACCAAATCTAATATCCATATCTTCTGCCCAAATCACACTATCGGCCAGGCTTGCTTTACGTAATAGACCGTGGAACTTTTGATGAAGTCTGTCTCCAATTGCATCTGGGCTGCAATCGGTGGGTGCAAAGGCCGAAAAGACAAACAAACAGTTTACGTCTATCGGAACGGCGACTGCTCAATTTGCACGAATCCCTGAGTCTCACTGTGCACAAACAACTGTCGACTGGTATCCAGTCTAGCAGCACCGCTTCGGTTCTTCCACTAAGAGCAATGCCAACGCCAGTAGGATCAGAACCCGAAGCCTCAGCGTCCCCAGAAACGCAAAAGTGAAACTTCATGGAGAGATTAGATGGGAGCGTCCATCGAATGATGGAATTGAAGTCTTGAATGCAATACACATCGATGGCAAGGATTCAAGCATTCGAGCTAAACCTATACGTACCAGGGTTCACACGTTGAATGTGGCTACTTTGAATTGGCATTGAGGACGAAGGAGCCGGTGGTAGCGGGTCGGGTGAGACTCGGACGTTAGTGAAGAAAGAAAACAGAAAACATAGGGACGATTCCCATCAGTGGCATTACATCTGGTACGGTTAACCAAAGACCCCGTGCAGTCTGATAAGGGAAAAGAAAGAGGAAGGGGAGTAGGGAGAATAAGGTAAGTTCTTATGTACGGTGTGGGAGAGCGCTTATGTGTGCACGTAAAAAGACCTTCAATCATTGGATGAGTGGTATTTTCCATGGTTGTTGCGTTGTAGTCTGTCGTACTACTCGGTCGACCGGTCCGCAGTGGGCCTTTTTATTCGGTGATGCGCCTATAACCTTTGAGCAGCCGATCGCGTCCTGCCAAGCTGCAGCGTTGGTTCAGATGAGCCGGTGGCTAATTGTATGATTCATGTACCTCTTCTGGAATCCGCTGAGAGCCTGTGACTGCCCGGTTCATTCACCCTTCGGATGAGGCTAGACATCGTGGGTCTCCAGTACACCCCTCCGCCACAGATACCGGTGAGCGTAGTGCTGTATGCCTCATACGCCACCCGTGGTTGGCTTGGAATCAGAGTTTAGCTATCCCCCAGATTGACTATCAACCAGTTAACCCCTGGATAGCGCCAGGCATTCCCTTTCATCCTCTCCCTTTAGCGGGAACACCTCTGCCACGAGAAGGCAGTGAGCAGGATTCCCTCAGCATTGGCTGTGGCAGATGCACGGTTGTTTGGGAGGATTTCGAGAAGCGTTCAGGACGGGTAGCCATCTCGGAGCCTAAGACACCCATCCCCGACCATACTGAAACACTTGCACGATGATGATAATGAGTATTACTATTATTCGACAAGAAATCACAAGAAGCTTCGCCATGAAGATAGCAAGTAAAAACGAAAGCAGAAAGAGCTTACCGTCCAAACCGTGGACGCACACCACCAGATGGAGTTCGTCGTTTTGCATCGGAGGGTCGGAGAAATAGGCATACGGAGCAGCCACAGTGGCAAAATCGCTGTACACGTGGCCCTGGAAATCTACAGAAATCTGTCGCTTCACATTTTCCTTCAGTTGTAAGAACTCAACTACTCCAGGGGAGATTACATCGACCAACGGCTTTGAAACAATCTCGGTCGGTAGAGTGACACAAGATCGACACGACACCAGTGTGTTGTGCAACGACGGAACCGAGTCAATCGTTCGGTACTTCAGGGATTGCGTCTGAGCAGCACCACTGGGTAATGCAGACACATTATGTACCTACGAGGACGAAAAAAACTCGGAATAAATACACAGAACTGCGCAGTGACTGAAAAAAGCGAAAACTACTGACCGTGAACGAACTGCTAGAAATTAAAAGCTGTCTCACGGATCTGAGTCGGAAAAGTTGTGATGAGCTTTGCTGCTGTTTCTCAGCAAAACCAACCAGGAAAGTTACCAGAAGAACTTGCTTACAATAGGGAGCATGAAAACCTAAAGCATGAAACAGCAAAGCAACAAACGAGAATTCAACGCCACTATCGTTACCATCAACAATGTAATGCCAGAAGAACTCACACCTACTACATTAAACGATACACTGATCACTGGTGGTAAACACGACCGATGAATTTTACAAATCAGTACAAACCTGGACACGGTGAGAAACAGTCAAAAGATTTTCAAATTGGTAGACACAGGCAAAAACCTGATCATATAGAAAATTGAAACAAGATCATTGACATTCCGTCTACCAACAGATTTTCCGGCGTCTTCAGTTCATCGGTGGTGGGATTACTATATCCCAACCAAGAAAACGGGGCGGATTTACAATCTCCGTGCACTTTCAAGTGGTTTTTCTCATCTTGCTGCAGCCACGGCGTCGTGCGACAGGTGATTTGCGACAATGCGCAGCACGTATCCCAATCTACGGAAACCATTGACTTGGATTTGTCAAGACAACGAATTATCAGAAAAAGAAGCAAACCCCAGACCTATCGCTTCATTCCGTCCTTGCTAGGCCCCATAAAGGTATCGGAAGATATCTTTCCAATGCAGATACCGAGGTCTACAACCGAATAACAGGACTTCCTAAAGAGCGCAACAGAATACACGACCTTTCAGCATCAATAACGACTCCACTAAATGGCACAAATCTTTCAGGACCACATGCACTGCTCGAATCCTTGATATGTGCGAAGCAACAGCAGTGAAGGTGCATGACAATGGCGGAATTGAAAATTCCATTTCATAGAAAAACAGTTACACGTCGGAGCGTATCCCGTTCTCTTGTTTCCGCCTTTATAATCATCGACATGGTAACGTTCCTGCAGTATTCTCTTAAAGCCTCAGTGATCACTGAGCATTCTCCTACTTACTTTCCGATTGATGAGAGCGTTTATTTCACACATCGCTCAATCCCTTCACGTGATAGTGAAATTTGTTTACACAAAGATTTGTTTAACCGTGGACGGCTTCCGACTAACCACCCATCGGATCACCGTATCATCATTGGACTTCAGGCTGTTATGTTGTTATGACTGTCTTAACTAGCCTAGCAATGCATTTTTGATATTCATCTGGAGTACAGTTTGTTCAGAAAATTCGGGACCACCTCGGTTCGGTCGAAATCCTGACATCCGATGTATTCCAGTTTATACCGTCAAATTTCAACCCAAAAATGTACAACAGACACTACTGTTTAGCGATTGAATCGTGTTGGATGCTGTCAATCACAGGATCAAACGAAAGCGTTGTTTGCATCTGTTCGACCGAATTTGGGTGATTCCGAATTTTTTGGACAGACAGTACAGTAGCTTCAAAAGATGTTTCCTTTAAATTTTGCAATTACAGATTGATTGTCAGCAAATGGCTTGCAGTATCATCTGAGGGGTGACAACTGCACAAAGGTATGCATTATTCGCCTTATATTTTGACTACTGTGTTTATGAATGGGATCCGAATTCCGGATTGCGCCCCATTCATCACCATGCAGCATCAAGCGGAGTACTTGACCGTTTGTGTTATCCATGACAACGTTTGAACATATTACTGTTTAAATAAAACCATGATGTTCACGGACGAGGTCAAGCCTTTCTCGTGGGAAATGTATCCACAAGATCAGCTGCAGGGTCACAGATTGGGTTGGACATAATCAATGGCCGCCGGTGACAAGTCAAGATAATACGCCATTTACGAAGCCCTTTTAATTTGCACCTGTTCACACACAAACACACATGACACTGCTCCCATGATGATTTGTCCTCACACGCTATCACGCACACACATGACCATCGATTTCCATTCCGTGAACGTAAGACGCACACACATTCACATCCACAGGCACCCGTAGGCTCATCCCACTGACAGATTCTCCTGGGCGCTGACTGACGCACGCACGCACGCTCATGTGTCCACGCGTTGGTTCTCTCGACATGAACCTACCACGGGGTGACCTGGTACCTATCCTACGATTACACGTACAAGGCCTCGAGCACAGACACACAGATCCGTAGACCTTGAACTGTGATTATACTATCCAATCAGCTTTGCGCATACCGTTGTTTGCTCATCCGTTCACGATTCGCATTATCACACTACATGCTATTCCATACAGCTGGTTTGCTCTGTACGTTACTCAGAGATTTGGAGACACCTGGTTGTACTTTTTCTGTTTATTAACGCTTATCCTTCAGCCAGACGGCGCCACAGCAACGCGTGGTCGGGTACAGGTAATCATGTAGTAAAAATGATTGCGGGATCCTTCAAAACACGCATCTGGGATAAATCCAATTCATCTATTAGTACCCAACGGGCCTCAGGTAAGTCACAGCCAATCAGCAAAAAGAACTCTGTTAACGCCCAAGATTAGCAGGTATTATAGATGGAGCCAATCCTTAATTCTTTTCAGGCTAAACAATATTAGTCCCACGTATGAACGAAGCACCGATCCGCACGGCTTTCTCAACTTGTTTTCACTTTTACTCTTGCGCGACTAGAGCGTAAGTCGGCTCTACGAATATAACGAAAATAAGTCTTGGAGATTTTTGGGAATATAGTGCAAGGCGGTCTCCCCAGCACCGATCGGGACTGTAGTATTACTCGGTCGCTTAGTCCGGACGGCATTTTTATTGGAGGCTGCGCCTACAGCCTTTGCACAAATGACTGCAGCCTACAAGGCAGCAGAGTTGTTCCAGATGAGACGGCGGTCTGTTGCGCGGATCATTAGCGTCTTCCAAAATAGCGAGTCACGTAGGTTGGACAGTTTTCCTTTGAAGCCGTTGGATCAGTAGATCTCGCCTGGCATTCAGGAGTATGTCTTCGCATGCCGAACACCGTTTCGCTGAGGTTTTTAGACCTAAGTTACCCTCAACCTGGTTTAGCCCGCCTTTCGAGCGGTTCGCTGGGGCGTGGCTGCTGATACTTGCTTTAGCTTCGTGGAGCCACAGGTGAGAGTTGGGTAAATGATGGAGCCCAAGAGTATGGAGGATACTCCACAGGACAAGATAGTCTACCACTTCAGAGGTGCTACTCGTTGTGTCATCATGGAAACCTTTGGATTATCCCCGGTCAGTGATTCCTCGGTCGTCCAATCCCAACGGAAAACTAACCATGAACGAGTGCGGAAACTGAATTCAAGTGTAACCAAAACTCAACACTTCATGTAGCATGAGGCAGGGAATAAATGAATACATACGGCTTTGTTGTTGACTTCCAAGTGTGGTGTGCAGATGTGATTGGTTAAGTCAGATCACAGTGTTTCATACGTCCGATCGGTTGGCAGGTGGGTGGGAAGGGTAGGTAGTAGGTTGTCTGTCAGTGGTCGATGTGAACAGTGACGTGTGATGGACTGGTTGGTTCGTGGGCACATGTGTGATAACTGTACTGCTGAGTGTTAGCCTTAGCAAAGCACCCTGTCCTGCAGCCTCCCCGATGACGTGTGTTCAGAGATTTCCAACTCCCTGGCACCCCTCCGCTCAAACACCCCACAAACCCTTTCTCAACGATATAAGATCACGCGCAAGTGAGTTTTCCAAACGTACCACTCCCAAAGTTGGCTTCCTCAGACTTGTACCGTTTCGCAATGATTTCGTGAACTCTTTTTCCGGATGACTCTAAGTCACTGTTCCAATCAGTGCTTTGTCACATACGAAATGCGCATCCGATTACTTCCTATGATACAGCATTCATGCTCATCGGAAAAAATCTCAAATACCACAAATATTTAGTGGTGAGATTCAAAAAAGATGTTCTCAATTCCACTAGGGTTGGATAGCGCGATCGTGAAAGGCCGCGTGAAGCAACTGACGATGACAGCTGCAGTCTATTGAAATATACTCGGTTTTGGTTCACACTCGCTCACTCGATGAGTTCTACTAAATCAAACTAAATACCTTCCCTTCATCCGCATCCCTCTCTCCACTTCGTAAATACCTCCAGAGCGGGGATCTAAAAGCATAATATGATACTTCTGTACGGATGGGTCATTGCGGTTATCTACTATAGTGATAACGCAATTCAACTCACACTGGTAATTGTCCATGTTATGTGGAGGATGAATATATATATATATATATATATATATATATATATATATATATATATATATATATATATATATATATATATATATATATATATATATATATATATATATATATATATATACAGAAAACCGCAATGATCCACCCGTACAGAACTGTCATTGATGCTTTTAGATTTCTGGTCTGAGGACATTTAAAAAGCGAAGAGAGATGGGGAAGAACGGTAGGTCTTTAGAATGGTTGAATAGAACTCATCGAGTGAGTGAGTGCGAACCAAAACAGTATATTTTAATCATTTGATTTATGCACGACGGCTACTTTGAGCGGGAGATGTAATTATGCCTGACAGATCGAACCGTATTGTGTTTACATCTGTATTGTCATTTCAACCAATGTGCAACATTAGTCAGATAAACTTGTGTATCGTGAAATTTGCCTTCTCTCTTTAGCTCGCTGTTACAGAAGACATCAGGATGGTATAACCCAGACGAAAAGTGCCGTTTTTTAAAAAGCTAGAGAACTCATGTGTCATGGTTTAAACTTCACAAATTGAGGTCGTAAAAACAGAAACAAAACTGGATTAGTGTACAGTGATACCAGAATATAATATAATGTTAGAAGAGCGGTTGAGTATTATCGGCAGCGTAAATGCTTTGGCCAGTATAAGACTGAACATTACACTGACAGTCGACAATCTGATTAGGCACACTTACGCGCTGCGAAGCTGTCTGCCATCTATGCAGCTGTCCGTCTTCACGCAACAACTCCAAAATGCTGAACTTTTCATCTTGGCGCGACTGGGTATGATATCCCCCAGGTCTTTTAGGCAAGTCCATTTCATCGTCCGTGTCTCCATCGATATCACTGTGAAGCTGATAGCCACATTCGCGTAACTGTGAGTTTGGTTCATAACGATGGGCTGTTCTCAACGTCCCCAAAGAACGGGTTGTCCCGGTTTCGGTGAGCAGGGAATTTCGGTCACATGAAGTAAGAGTAAGAGCTTTCGTAAAACCATTGGGCATCAGTGGGGGACGACGGGTAATGGAATCTGTGGCGGCAGCATCGGAAATTGAGGCAGATGCGGTCACGTGTAGGGATTGTAAATTATTCGATCCACATACCTGCTTGCGGGTGACGAAATCCATGACTTCCTCGCTACTTGTCGAACTGGCCCCGTTGAGTGGAAGCGCAAAGCTGCCCGATTGTCCACGAGACCAGTAGCGTATAGAGTTGGTGCTACGATTCTGTGTATCCTCTATATTGTTTTTAGTACTTCGACCATGACTAAGGGGTAAATTGTCCTGCACCGACGATTGTGGGTATGGTTCGCTCATGTCCGATTGACAAAGGTTGAGTGACGAATGAGCCATACGATGATGCACAGACTCCATGTGCACATCAGTGTAAATAGAATCCCCTGGTTTTGGAATGCAACGTTGACTTTGAGCGTCTTCGAGAGCAATCAGATCCAGCTCTGAACAAGAGCCAAGACAGGCTAAACTGCACAAAAACAAAATAAAAGGTGCAAGGAAGATTAACTCTGAAGCGTCTACGTGGAAAATTCGACTCAGCTGAAAGCGTTTTAAAACTTATTGGCGACCAACTTTGAAACTGTCCACTTAGGCGAACCACCTTACGTAGACAATATAGTGTGTGTCCGATGTCTCTATGGATCCGCATCACGTTCTGTAATAATTCATTCACGCCCACGATGATGTAAAATTCACACTGAAAATAGAGTCCATAGATGTATCCATCACGTCATCCGGACAGTTCAATAAAACGATCAGTTTGTCACAAGAAAATATGGACAATGCAATATAGACAGAATTTTGGTATCAACACGCCAGAAAAGGAACCTTATCCGGTGTTCGGCAAACAGAGCCATTAGGATATGATCCATTGATAACATAGATGAATTTAAAAGAGTGAAGCAAGTCTTTCTTGAGATTGGATATCCTCAATGTTTCTCCGATTATTGCATGAAGATTGACACTACCAAATAGTTAGAAACAAGACAGCCCAACTATCTATCTAATTCAGAGAGGGACAATATGGCACATGTAGTAAGCAGGTGATTTATCACCGTTATCAGAAAGAAGCATTTTGCTGCTGACCTCTATGTTTTGTTGAGCTCTCAACCATTTCTCCGTTTACAGATGAAAGAAAGACTACCCATGGATTCCATCTCTCATTATGTGTACCAATTTACTTGCACTTGTAGGGCAAGTTACGCAGACTGAACCACAAGAACACTACTTGGACATCTAAGGGAGCATCATCCGAGTTCGTTCAACGAAGAACTGATGGACAGCACACAAACGGCAATCAACATTCATTTGATAAAATCGGGCCATTCCATCAATGTTAATGAGACCTTTCATTCTATCTACCGTCAAAGGAAGACTGACAAGGAATATCAACGTTCAGGTCCTAGACATCGACGAAGAAATCGTGCTCCGTACGAACAATCCAAAGTTATGTACATGTGAATTACTCTCGAACCCCATGCAGCTGACATGGCAAGTATCAATACACTATCTCTCAGGACACCGATAACAACATAATTATGTGAACCACAAAATGTCATTTGTTGTCTTTTTGCTTATCGATTCTCGTAACGTCCCTTTAGTATTCCACGTACAATACATACGAAAAATGCGATACTTAGCCAGTTGTGAAACACCGAAAACAAACCTGTTTACCACCGATTGTTCTGATGTCTTAACCCGATATTTTCAAGTACCTACTGTATTACTGATATGCTTGAAAAGATAAGACTTCCGTGAATTTCCAAAATCACATCTGCCGAAGATAAAAATGTTCTGCCTTCACTGAGCTTGAAATATAGAGCGCGTTTTTCAGTCAAAATGACGGCACTGTCAAAATATGTAGATTTGTTATCTGAAAAATCCCACAAAAAGCAGGGCTAGATACAAAAGGGATGTGGTAAAGGAACGGATGTGTTAGGGATTAGAGTGCATATCCGTTGCGGTAAATATTTGTTTGGAGACCGGATGCGGATTATCGCGTGCTTAATGTATTAGCTGTAGGCCGGTTTAGGATCTGACACTGGGTGATAAGTGGGTTAGGGCAGATTTTGCGTCTACAGATTATTTCCAATCACACAAGGGGGTGGGATGGAGGAGAGTTACATTTGATTCAAACAAACCTGTACTGCTTTGCGCATATGTGACTATTTCCTACTGGATGGTATATCAACTCCATGCATAACGAGGATCTCAGCTGACCAAGCGCGGCGACAGAAAGCGAGGTGGGCGCAGATCGTGCTGCAGTTTTTTTTTCATTGACGAGCACCTTAAACCGACCGTAGGCCTTGACGTTCTACACCCTTCGCAACATCACTGATTCAAGTTTTGAGCTGACCACCAAGAGTTTAGGACCATCCGAGTCAGGGTAGCAGACGGAGGGTTTGTTTGGTTAGTTCCGCCTCAGATCGCCGTAGGATATGGCCCAACCACCGCAGCCAATGGCAATGGAGGAAGACGGAGAGTTATTCGATTCTGCAGGCCCTGTCTCCTAACTTCGTCTTTGGAAACTCTACAGCGCCACTGTATTTTTAAGATACACCACAGGAGTCAGTGGTCAAGCACTTCAAGCCTTTCGGAATCTTCGGCTCTAAGTAGCCAGGTTTTGCAGCCATAGATGAGTACGGGGTGCATAGCGGCACGGCACCTTACCCAGCCTTACTCTGAAGGCTGATTTCACTGCGGGACCACAACGCTCATCGTAGCTAGAGAAATGCTTTCCTATAGCTGTCGATCCGCAGTATTGCTGAATCCTTTGCCTGACCATTCGGAATAAATGTAGAGCCTAGGTACCCGAATGATAGGACGCATTCGATCCGTTGGTCATTGATCAACAGCTGCTGGGCTAATGACCCTTGCAAAGTGGACGAAACTTTGGTTTTTGGTATTTACTTCTAGTTCGATGGAATTCGCGAAGAGACTGATTTGATCAAGGGCTAGTGGAAGCGCGGTAGGGGAGTCTCCTAGCAAGACCTTGTCACCCTTGAACTCCAGATCTGATGTGCACCTTCTGATGAAGCTGGATACCAGAGTAATCGGTCAATGTCTGGCTCACCGTCCAATTGATGTCGTAGTTGAACAGCACCGATGAAAAAGGGCAGCGCTGTCTGACTCCAATAGTGAGTGTAAATTCCGAGGATTCTTCACCATACATACAGACTCTCGCCCTAGTGTACGAATGGTATCCGTTCAGAAGCCTTGTAAGTTTCTCAGGCATTCCACGGACATTCCTACTTAATCGATTCGAAGGTCGATGAAACAGCCAATGTTTGACTACTGGGACTTTTGGCGGTGCTCATGTTCAATGCAGTATGAAGATTTGATCCCCATAGCCTCTGCCACGGCGGAAACCTCCTTGATTCGTCCGGGTGCTGCAGTCTCTCGCAGCATCGCGCACAGATTCTTTATAGCCACGTCAACCACGCTGATCCCTCGATAGTCTTGCACACTGATTTGTCTCCTTTCGTGGGGATGGACAGCAGAACAGCCGTGCCCTAATCACACAAGAAGACCTCGTCTCGCCATGTAGAGCCAAAGAGGGTGTACAACCTATTGACCAATGAAAGCAGGCAGCGATTGTAGACTTCTGGCGGTATATTACCCTCTTTAGCGGCTTTTCAATTCTTTGGCTGGTTGATGACCGTTGTCGTCGGCGAATCAGAATTAACATCATACCGCTCTGCAAGGGCTGTTAGCTGTAGGTTCGTCAAGTGATCTGAAGGTCAGTTGAGCAGCCAATCGAATTGACCTACCCATAGTTCTAATGTTCTTTTCTGCTCAGGCACGAGCTGACCGGTTGCGTCGCGCAGAAGCAATTCATGCATGCAGCGCCAATCCGATGCGTTGCGAATGGGGAGGAATAGCCTGCCGAAATCAACAATACCTGACGCGATCTCCATTTTTTCAGTTACTGCTTCCCAGCACCGTTTACGATCGACCCTGGGAGAGCGTGAGGCCTCCCTTTAAAGTCTGCGGCATTTGCTACATCCTGATAGCCAAGCTGCATGTGCATTGGCTGACAGTTCAAGTGTGCCCATAGAAAGCGTTTTTCTGAAATCTTACGGTCTTCCCCAGATCTTTCAAACCAGCCTCTCTAAACGCTAATTTGATCATAGTCCACGTTTCTTCTACTGGAGCTGCATTGGTTACGGTGGGTAGCCAGGTTGATATTGCGCGTGATAGCGATTAGAATTTCTCCGGAATTTCCAGTGCTTCGACGTTTATTCGGATTGTCGAAGAGGCCTTAAGAAGCATGGATAGACGGATTCTGAAGCGTGCACGCAAAAGGATATGGCCTGTATTATTTGTTTTCTGTGGAGGTACCACGGTACGCTTGGTAGTCACAAACAGACGAAGCCCAACAAGACTTCGATGGGATATAGTCAATATGATGAGAAGCGCGACCGTTTCTTAAGTGTCACGTTATTACGTGCTTTTTGGGGTTCTGAAAGCGTGTGCTACAAAAGACCATTCTGTTGGAGTCGGTTAAAGTGACCAAGGAGTCCTTATTTTCACAGCGTTGACCAAGGCCCAATTTTCCGAGGACGTGTCACGTTGACCTACTCGAGGGACCTGTGTGAGCGTTCTAGTCTCCGGCGATGAACAGAATGTCACGTCTCCAGACACGGTTAACCCTTGAAGATTGTCGTAAAATTCTTTTGTTTCCTTGTCCACTGCATTGGTCGATGTGTAGACCGCGATCACTGCCAAATTCGGAGAGGAGCTCTTGAAGCATGCCAAAGCAAGCTCTGTAAAACCTGACTCCCAAGTCACCATCGCGTTGTTGGCTTTATTGTTAAGGGCGAACCTGACGTCGTGGAAATATGTGTCGAACATCTATGAGAGAGCCAGTAAGCCATCTCCTCTTCTGGGACTTCTACACGCCGAGTGCCAGGGTTAGTTAGGCGGATTTTCGAGATGCAATCTAACGCTGATGTTATGGTTGCGTAGTGTCTTCATTGTGACACAGCCTACCCAAGTCCAATAGTGTCCTCACGTTTTAACAAGTCAAATATGCCTGTTTCCCACAGTTCAGTATTCCGGCTCGCTGTTATTCTGATCAGTTTCACTAGCTATAGAAAGAGGACTTTCCTACCTTCGAACCATCTTGGTTTATTGGTACAAAATAGATCACTTATATAAGAAATGCGATGACCATAACCAAATGCATGCACGCAAAACTTGTCGGCTCAATTGTAATTAACGAGTGACTATTTTGGCTGGCTTGTCTGGTTGTATTCGGATTGGCTGATACGGCTCCGGTCGGTTCAGACAACTGTTGGTCATTGATTAGTCCATCAGCTGGCTTCGCTGATCCCAATCTTGTCCCCTGTTTTGGACAAGGGATGACGCAATGTCTGCTTTGCTGAGTACAACCTTGCCTTAGATTTCGGACGGGCGAAGGCGTGCTGTCTAACCATCGAACCAGCGTGCTTATAGACATGTCTCCCACAACCCCATAATTGTATTTTTTGTTACATACTTACGCATGAGTGCAGTGGAACGGGCACTTTACCCCATAGCCACGAAGGCCCGTTGCACTATTGGGGATAACCGAAAACTAGACCCCGAGACTTGGAGTGGTAAGGAACCACATAGGGTTCCAATAGGTCAGGTGTGGTAACGATCCGGACGACAGTGGACTACTGTCTACCACCTGACACCTCAACCACTGGAGTACAAGGAGTGTCGCTTGTCGGAAATGCAGCAGCATGATAAAAGTGCACGTTTCCAAAACTAATCATGATTCTAGAAGACATGGCACCCATTGTTTCCTCCCTAAAATGGGTCACTTCTGGTACTAATCCACAACATTATCGTCCAATCGCTTTTCAGGACTAACCCAGATGTAGTTGTTCAGTTGTTTTCCCACATTCGTTTGTGTAAGAGTAATGACTGACCTCTGAGTGCTCCATTAGTTCCAAAGTAGCCCTCGCGATTATTTGACGCAAATCTTATTATTTCTTTCTTCAGCTGTCTTGTCAGGATTCTTCTATGGTAATAGTTGTTTAGGTCGAGTGCAGTATTCTGGCTAAGCCATTAGGCTGCAGTGATGTAGAGACGAATCTTTTCCCAGGTGAAATCTGGGATCGAGGCACTTTCTATCAGGGTATCATTTCGCGAATCCCGCATCACTAGACCACTTACGTATGATAAATTAAACGGTTTTCGAATTCAACACAATTACGTTACTTGATATACAGGTCACATTAGGAAGAAATATTGGTTAGCGGGTCATAAGTCAGTAAAAATAGTGTTAGACCTATGCATTTCGTTTATTCCCTCCGACTAATAACGTTAAAAAATCGGGCTTCAATAAAACAATTTATTCAACTACAGTAGACGTATATATATATATATATATATATATATATATATATATATATATATATATATATATATATATATGCCGGTTCGATATTTGCAGCTTTCGGTTTTACAATTTTTTTATTACATGCTTGTACATGAGTGCACTGAAAGGGGTATATACCCCATAGCCACGAAAGCTCTCTATTAGGGATAACTGGCAACCAGACCCTGAGACTTAGAACAGAGAACCACATAAGGGGCCCAACAGGTCAGATGTGGCAGCAATCCAGACGACAGTGGATTGCTGAAGGAGAATCAATATCGCAAACATTTTGTGAGCTTCAGTATTGACAACAGTCTCCAAGTATGATGCTGTTAGAGATAGTATCTCCGGAAACAATGAAGGTCAGAAGAAAAGATGAAACAAACAAGAGGAAAAAGTCAAATGAACAATGTTTAAATGCTAGTGTTACACAGAAAACGAAAGCTCGCGTTTCCCATCATCGTGCAGGTAAATATTAAAGTTTGCTCTGGAAAGGTATTAAGGATTTACGATAATGTTGTAGTTCGTGCTGAGTCAAGCCATGAGGAACGTTCCTCGGGGAATTCAAACCGATTTAGATGTAATGGTTAAAGTTATAAAACGACAAGGTGCGTTAACCAAGAGCAGTAACGTGGCGTTTTTCTGGTTTGCCATGTGGGTCTTTGACACTGTTCGTCATTGCGACTATTATTATCTAATGATAAACTGATAATTCACGTCTAGGGATTGTACAACGGAAAGCGGTACCCCTAAGTAAAGTTTGAGATAAAACGCCTATTAGTAGCAAAGGAAAACAGTCACGGTAAGTGTATGTGTAAATCATTGTTCACAGGTCCCTTATAAGGTTGTGGGGTTTCCAAAAAAGTATTACAAATCAACTATGTTGTGAGGTGGTCAGTTCACTTGATCTATGACAATTAATAAGTACAATGCAGTAGGTGATGATTGTGAAACGCGGATAAGCCCGTAAAAACGCGATTAAGAAAGCCTGAATAAAAACACTGAATTCAACTTATGGTTAATTCCATTATTCGATTACTTAGTTGTTAACCAATTAGTCCACAGTAAGCAATTCTGCGTTTGAAATTCAATATCGAGTACAGGAAGCAAGAGAGAAGGGGGAGAGTGAATAAAAAAGAAAAGATTTCAGGGTGGCTGCATACATAATTCGGAATGATAAGCAAGCGTGGGTAATACACTTGCCAGTCTAAACCTGGTCGACCTGTACTCCAAGCTGACTGCACTGCGTGAAGGGTGTGACCAACCGTGGCCAAAACGATACATGAGGTCATATGGGCACGGCAACTGTCCAGTGTAAGACAAAACCGATCATTCTCCTAAATAAAAAAACACCGAGTTTGACCTCACAATTCCACACGCTCATGCACTCCAAAAATAATCGAAATTGAAAATTTGCGGTGGCGGAAAACAATTCCGGAAAAAGGTGTTGTCCGTCATTATTTGACTTACTCTGACGTGTACACACGGCACATGGCGGAATGAGATCTTCTGGATTAAAGAAAGTAAGAACATGAGATCAACTGCAGTAAAATTATTCGCAACGATCGCGCAGATTCAACGAAAGCAAGCGTTTCTGTGATTATGAAAAACAAAACTGCCACAGTTTCATCCGTAAGTACTTTCTGCTAAAAATAATTCTTAATATCACACGACGAAAGATCAGGTGAAATGTTGTTTGATTATGATGCGGCTCACGTGGGGTCGGCTGAGTGACTAAAGTGATGATATCATCATTTTGTTTTGCACCAGGATGAGTGAATTTAAGCACCAGGAATCCGCTCGTAAACAAAACAAAATCCAGATCGGACTTGCAAAAGAAATTCGTAAAAATACTGTGCAACCTGAAGTAATGAGTCACTAACCGCGTCATTGTTCCGGAAAGTTTGTGCCGTGCACGCCGTTGAAAGGTCGACGCCTTCGAACGTTCGTGTCCTCGAGTCGAGGAAGTTGACGATAAAACGGATTCGGATTTGACCCGAGCCAAAGCGCAAGCATAGGCCAAATTTGGCACAGACAGACTCGACAGAGTGCGTGATCGTAGGAACGGCCGCATAGATGAGTCCGTACACGTAGTGTTTGTGCAATTCTGCGAAGTGAACAGATCCAGCCCATTGGTCAAATAAGCCGGAGGAACACAACCACCAGGAGGTTCACGAGGTGTACGACTTAGGGTGCCCAGTGCGACCGAGTGTGACGGTGCGGCTATAAAACTGGAGCAGCGTACCACAGGAGACGGTAATTGACGCTCGTCAAAAGAGGAGTTTTGAATGTTGGATGTACGGTTCAACGAGGGAGTTACACCAGAACGGTCCGATTGGGAATCGTGTCTTTTTCGGTGAGCACCACCGCAGACGGATTTCAACTGTTCTGCGATCAACAAGCAAGGCTCATCCACATCATTGGAAGCATCCGAAGAAGATAGTTTCACGTTACAGTAACCAGAGTTGTGCATCAAGGAGGCCTCGGATAGGGAAGAATATAAGCCGTGATCATCAGTAAAAGCGGATGTTGAGGCAGTGCGCGTGTGGATTGAATTCACCGACCTCGATCGAAGGCTACCAGTTGTGAAGCACAAGACAAGGAGGAGCAAAGGAAGAGAAAATATTTACAGCGAGCAAAATAAGCCAGATTCACCAAGAGAAATGGATGGAGCTAAAACGACCTTCAATGACTGGACAGGAAAAGATCACATAAAACGGAATAAAATCTACAGTTAAACGACAAAATCCAGAATATTTAGTTAAATGAACTATGTAGGGGAGTTATTATGCGTGATCTGAGTGCTAGAAGTGTCGAACCACATTACTTCAATCGAAACAGCCATTGACCACGTATCGAGTGAGGTGGTTCTGGTTGGTACTTTTTGGCAGAAACCTCGATCGGAAATCAAAACAATGAAAAGTATAAAAAAGTACTTGCGTTCTAAGGATGGCCATTTTGATTTCTCAGTATTCATTTGAAATAATGCGAGGACCGGCTCCCGCTTACATACACTCGCTTGAGATATTACCATCAATGTGCTAACCAATTGCCGTTTACTAAGAAAACCTTGACAATAGTTGCCAATAGCTTCCCCGGTTAATGTTTGACGAAGACAGGTTGTGCAAATGAGACCTGCTTTAACTGAGACGGCCATGAAAACTTGACACACTATGGCTTTTCCGAATTAAGTCAGCTGTTTCCCATTGTCTGACACAACTAAGTGTAAGTCACACGACAATGGAAGGAGAAGCAGAAATCACAAAACTGGTTTTTCGAAGTAACTTAGTGAGTCCCAGATGAAGTCGAATATGGCCTAGGTAAGCTAAATGTCCATCCTCGATCAGTTACTTTTATTAACTGTTTGGCTAACTAGTCCATTTTGATCAAACAATATTAGCTGCGGTTAGTTATGACCATGTGCGTGGGTTGCCAAAATTCCAATCCCAATAATTTTGACATGAGATACGACGATGAACGGAAATCACGAAAACAGTGGTTGACTAAGAAGTCTGACTAGAGTGTCGACACATTTCCTCAAAGGAAGTGAACAGGCCTTGCTGAACGGATCCTTCTTTGCCTTAGGCTGCAGATAGTATTACGTCGCCTAGATTGCTAACTGGTTTAAGAGCACTTGTACGGCGACTATGACCGTGGATTCGGGCTTTACCCAGCACATCAGATCAACTGAATCAAATAACCTAAAAATTTAATCAAGATTGAGGAGAGTCTATCTCAAACAATTCGAAGGAGGGTCGATTTCCCTATGAGATGATGCCCTTAATTATTTTTCTTCTCTGTATTGTAATGATCAGGCTGCAGGCTGCCATACTAGGGTTTGATTAATGTAAATAAGAGAACCCGATGGGACACTCACTGAGCCTTTGGCTCATGGAGTTTGATGTTTTTGTCATTTCAGATCGATCACGTGCAACCAACTGCGGAAGAATACTGACGCAGCATACCACAGTACAAAGATGTCCAGGTCGCACATATCCAAACTGGATCACGAATAACGTGCACAAAATTACAGTTAACTTAAAAAACCGCCATCACAGGTTGTAATCGAACTAAATAACTTTCCTGTACGCTATCTAAACGACGCAGTTCCCATTACTTCTCATCGAACAAAGTAATTCCTAAACAAAGATTCACCTCCGTGCAGTTTACAATTCGTTGCACAATTCAATTTCTGGTAATTCCTTGCATAGAAATCCGGAAATCTTTGATTTGGTTAAAATTTGGCTGTTTTCAGCAACAAATATTGTCACTTACTGGTATATTCAAAAATACCCATCATTTTAGTAGAAAGCCTGAATAATAATTATAAAACACACACACATACACACACAGGATAGCCTGTCCGCTACAAGGTTCATTCAAATCTGCATCGTGTCTCATCGTCAACCCTGTGTCCCATCGTCTGCATGAGTTTAATGGTCTGCCACTCCACGTTCTAGTCTCTGATTTACCGACCGCTAGTATTTACGGGTCCTACCGTAACCATTGTAATCATACCTAAAATGAAAGCAAAACATGAGCACTGTGAGGAGATATCACGGCCGCTTACAAATTGCATCCTACAATGTCGTTTCCATGGCAACTAGAGAGTTCTAATACTCTGTTCCGGCTGAAGACGATATCGCGGTATTATGCACATTGAATACATCACGCAAGCTTACCGAGTACACAACAACACAGTTAAGATAAAACCCACTAGTTCCATTGAAACGACAATAGAAAAATAAACTAGGAGACCTACAACTGTTCACGCGACTAGAAAAACAACATGAATTGCAAAACTGTCCTAACAAGCGAAGTTTCACAGCAAAAACTGATTATCTTACTCTCGAGTTCTCAAAGATAGGTGTTTCGGTCTCAACCGAACTGTAGGTGTCTCAATCACTCCGCACCCACAGGAATGTTTGTGATGTACACGGATTGATACTGCCTTAGATTTACAGTCTACAATGGGAGCATCCGATATCACACCCACACTGCGGTAGCCCAACAGGCGGACTGGGCCATCGTGCATTGGGTCAGGGAGCGCGGACATGTCATGTTTTGAACGGATTGCTTGGAACGACCGATGACCATGTGAATTCGAGTTACGAAACCGGCGTCGGTTTTGGCTCAAATAGCGTAGTACTGGCGGTAGTGTTGCGTTGGTTCGGGCTATACCCAATTCAGCTAGTGCCGGACTAGAACGGGAGAAAGCTCGGGAGGAGTCCGTCAGCGGTGAAGGCAAGCCACGAAGTAAATGGGCTTGCTTCTGGTGGGATGAGCTCGCTGATTGAACGGAAGTTAACCAAGAGGAAAAGTGAAAGGAGCGTTTGGAGATTAGTGGACTGGAAAACATGGTTAGCACACACCATATTGAGGAGAAATGCTACTTCGAGGCAACGGAGACGATTGAGCTTATCACAATCAAAGCAAACTGGCACGAATGATGGGTGTATTGAACGACATACTACATCCATGAAGGCAGAGATGCATCCCGAAATTTAGGCACAAATGCTTAGCTCAATGAGGAATAAGGAAACAAAAAGCAATTGTGCTGAAGAATTTAATCATACTGATCCAGTAGAGGGGATAAACTGTTAAACACTCGATTAATACAAACGCAACAAAATAGCTGACTTCGGGAAATTTATCGTTCCCGAAGGCTTTCAGAATGAACAATCACTGATCATGACATACTATGCTACAAGATCAAAAAAACAACGCGTCTTGTGAATGTGAAGTTACTGTTTTCTAAAGCTGAATCAGTCGAAAGTCACAATATCAACGGCGATAATTATGGTCGTATTGACTCCAGGTGAAAACAGAGTTGTAGTGTTTTTATCTCATTCGCGAAGTAGATGGGTTCATGAAGGAAACCTTCTTGAATCAAGGTCAGAAGAAGCGGCAAAATGAAGAGCAGGGCTGTGTACGCGCCTTTACAAATCGACGACATGCATTTGTCATCCTTGAATACACTTTTCTGACAATAGATATGAGCGTATTAAACTCGTATCACGTTACCGCCGCTGGTCAAACGATTGTATGGGCCCTGAGTGGCCTTAACGTTCATAAACTATCACTTTCAAAAATCGGAGTCGCGGTATTTGACGTCAAGTTCACAGTTCCGGCCTTAACATCACTTACTTCCTGTGCAAAAGTACAGCGTTTCTCGTATTATTTATTCGTTTACCGAGACAGGCTTAAGGACACCGCCAAGTGCTAACTCACTTTCAATGCGGATTCGCGTGGATGGCTGCGCATCAAGTCGAACTCGGTTGGCATCTCCCGACAGAGGTTCTGATTGATGGGATTTATCGCTCACCTGCGAATCACCCCGTGCGAGAGGAACGTATGACGGATCGTACCATACACCGCTCGCGTTGGCAATCACACCAGGTTGATGACACCAAGGAACTCGTTTTGAATGGATCGAATTTGGCGACAGAAAGACGTCTTCAAAAATGATTGGCAACGTGTTTGGATCGCCGTCCAATTCGCGGCAACTGACCGATAGTGCAGGTAACTGCTGGAAGTAGGGGGACTGTCTAACTTCGTTCGCCAGCGCCTCATGACCAACGGTACTGTGATTGATTAAAGTCAAGGCCAATATAAAGAGCAAAAGAGCATTTGTCCGGTGATGTGGTCTCACTTGAGCTGCGACTGTGCGCAACATGCAACGACGCAAATTACATTTCAGGTATAAAAAATGAAGGAAATCATTTCATATGTAGGCCAAAAGCAGTATTAATGGAACACTTAAGTCAGGATGAACATTTAAAGCAAAGAATGGAAGAAGCCGACAATTTCGGTGATTCAGCATGACCGTGAGGAACAAGCGAAGCCGAAAATAGCATAGCACTGAGTAAGGAAACAGCGCGGAGCGAACCAGACTACAAGATATGCAGCGGGTTTATAAGTAGACACTGGACTAGAACTATATATCTGAAGAAGGGTCTACAAAGAGGAAGAAACAGGAATGCCAGCATCAATCAGTTGGAAAAAAAAACTACCGGCTAGGGCAACACGAAAGTTGTTTTGCCAACAGTGGAACTCTGGACTAAGTTGTTCAAGGTGCAGATATTACTAGTAAGTAAAATCTCAAGATAATATGTTTCAATGGTAGTCAGTGGAAACAGTGTGCTGACAGTAAATTAGGGAACTGACGGACAGAAATGATTCCAGAACTGAAATTAATTGAGTACAAGATATATGGGAAACAAGCAAACTAAATGGCATGCAGTGTGCACGAAAATCACATCTTTCAATATTTACAGAAAAAACGAGTTCGCTAAGCGCAACATTTAAGTTAATGCCACCGATTATAAGTTCAATTCCCCAATGTTTTCAACCAGCGGCATTCTCATCCATTGGACCCAGTCTGTAAAGCTGGGTAGCGCTAGCTGAGGTGAACATCAACCCGAGCTTCTATATACTCGTAGGCTTTCATGATCTGCTGTTGGAAACTCAGAGAAGAAATGAGACTATGACGAAATTTCATAAGTGGAGCCAAAAGGTGGCTGTTACATGCATTAATCGAACCTGAGCTATCGACGATGGAATCTTTTGAGATTCGAAACGTGCTTCTTAGGTATCATATTTTTTAAGCAAGCCAAACCAATGGTTGGTTCCGTCAACGGAGTCGAATAATTCGTGAATAGCTGAGAAAAGAATGATGCTAGGGACTTTAAAATGCGTGGCGACTCTCAGGCAGCTGGTGGACAATAAGAATATGATCGGCGCACCCGCGGTTCAGTCGAAACCACTGACTTATCGTGTGCTACTCACGTGTACCGTACAATCGGCGAAAAATGACACACACCAACAGCGTGGGTGCAAATAAAACCAGACAAATATAACAGTGGTCAGCGCACATATTGCACAAATTCTTCTACAAGACGGGGATACCATCTCACGCTCCCCAAAGATAGGGCAGCCTAGAGATAACACAACAAAATATAACGATCAGGAACAAGTCACTACCTATCTTGAAAAAAAGGGTTAAGAGAAGACCAAGGGGCCTGGTTAATTGTGAGGTCCTGAAGCTCGCAACGACCTGCTGACGTTAACACTTAAATAACACTTTTACGGAGCACTGAGCGCCATGATGACAACAAATGCCCGTGTATGTGTGTGCGGGGCAAATCCACTCAGCAAGCCACAAACAAAGTAGTTATACCCTGTTAACCACAACTGCATTTCTTACCTACTGAAATCAATCGTGAAACAAAGCACACAGCAACGAAGAGCGTGATGCACCATGCGCTTAGAGGAGGAGATAGGACTGGTGCAAAACAATCGTAAATCCAGGCCGGATTCAGACGACTGACTCTGATTTTGGCTAGTAATTCGATCACAGATCCAGGTAATCAGACAGTGAGAGTTCTGTGATACAATCCAATACACTCCGCACTTGTCTCGCTTGGGACACAACCACAGTTTTCTAGACTAAGGTGTGCACATATATCCGGGCATTGAATGTTTCAATCGACCAATCAATCAAGTTGATATATTCATAAAGGGAGAGGTCGATTCACCTGCGGAACACAACGGAGATACTGGCCAGCTTACTTCAAGCCCAAAGAAACCACGAATGTTTCTTTGGAAAGTGATAGCATAGCCAGTTGTTAACCTATGAACCGATCAGTCTGCAACAGACTAAGATGAACGGATAAGTCAGCCAGAATAACTGAGCAGTTCTCATGAAAATATGAAGAGCACAGAAGCAATGAGTAACATAAGTGGCGGATACGAGGGTGAGCAAGCGACTGTCCTAAATTTGGGCACGCATACGTGGCACTGCAAAACTATTGTTACACACTAGGCAAATAGAAATGATACTTCTGATAAGATCAGCGAAGGATTTCGAACAAATTTATTTCTAAACATGCATGACAAAGTAAGCGAGATGAAAGAAGGTTCGCTTAGTAGTGACTGAATTTACCAATACTTTCTTGACTTAACCTAAGGCTCAGTGAACTGACGAAAATATGAGAGCTGAATTGGCGGAGTCTACGAAGTTGCCAGCATTTACTTCAAAATCACCGTCAGTGTTTATAAAGGTATCCGAGAAGAACAGATTTACAACGGCCTCTCGGTGTTGAGCTTGGAGTTTAGGTCGTACACGTTTCATTACCAGTAGGGCTGACATCGTCAATGCGTAGGTGAAGGTCCAGGTACTCATTTGTATTTGTGGGAATTCTGGCCCCAGATTTTACTTTCACCTTGGGAACTTGACCCTTTGACCTCTCGGCGCATACTTCTACATTGATCGACTTGACCTTGTGGGCTTTACCAATTCCTTCTAAATTTGGAAGTTCAACCTTACACTTTTGCTGTTGGGTCTAATATTAAAAAGCTTGGGTCATTGGGTTTCAGGGAGTTAGTTTGGGTTGGTATTCATAAGAGTTGGGTTTCGTGTATGTTGGTCGGTAGCAATAGAGTCCAGTTGATTTGCTTTGTTTTTTAATGAAATGAATTTCTTGCTTATCAGGAGACTGTAAATGCGATCCAATTCAATGTATTGCTTGACTGGATTTCTTGAAGAATGCCAGACTTCCAAGACCTCCCTTGGGAATGTCGTGGCTGTTCGGTTCAGAATATGAAGTTCATTCAGACTGAAAGCGAATATCTCTGGTGTCTACAGTAAATAGTCGAAAGTTTTAGCGTTACTTTGGGCCGGTTCTAATGCTTTTTCTAATGGGCACACATATGCTCAGTAAATCCAGGTGCCGGGGTTAGGTTTCCAATCTTTATTCTACGATTTCGCCCATGATATGTGCCGCTGGAACACTTACTTACTTAATTATGCCAGCCTGTGCACTCTATCAGTGCTCGTACTGAACATCCTCCTATTCTAACATTCAAACACAATTTGCATCCTGTGAACGAATTTCCCTAGTTCGTCGCTCCTCTTGTCTCATTTTTGACAGAAACAAAAAGCTCTCTTTTATCGGACACCACTCAACTCCTTTTTCTAACCGCTTAATCCCCTCATTGCCCTCCTGTTGTTGTAATTGCTTTGGCACCACGTTTGATTTTAAGCCGGTGTGAAATACTATCTACCTTCAATTTTTCAACCGCTTTTTCTTTCAACACTGGTCTCTGCACCTATTCAACCATTCTGTAGCTATCTCCGGAATCCTACAATTTGACTTCTCCAACTGCGGATTCCAAATGTGACTGGAGCTTTACTAACTGCGGTAATCCCCGGTTTGCGCAGTATACTGACGTATCGGGGCTGACAGTTGAAACTGAAGCCGTACTCCGAACTTCTAACGCGCATACTCTATCTACTGTTGATCACACTCATGCAATTGTTGATCATCTCACCAACATATCGTTATCCATAGTTCCCCCAATGGTTTAACCACGCACGTAATCGTGCTATGCGCATAAAGAACACATCTCGATGTTCGTGACAATAACGCCCATAGTCGTTGTTTTGAGCGAGCCAGGAACAAAGCCGCGGTGGTTATACAGATAATCTAAGTATGACTTACCTGCTACAAAGGAACGGTCAAGTTTTACTTGTACTTTCGAAAAACCAAACGTAATGGCTCATTGGTAAGTTATTTGCAATACTTTTGCATCACGTAGGCTACCATGGCGGAGGACGTTCGTGATGACAGTCCATCGCTTTTCTGGCGACGCAATGAAGAAGTCTAAATCTCATGACGTATGGGTGACCCATCATTTTGTGATCGTTTGGGCAGGGAATTCAGAGCCCATTAGGGCAACCTACAGGTGATGTGTGTGACTCACAACCAGTCACTCCGCGTTCGAGGCCCCTATATTTTTTTGGTGATACATCGCGTTTTTACGCGTGTACCGAGAACATTCTGTCCAATAAAGCAATCCTAGATCGGTATTCCCCAACGGAGTCAAGGACTGTTAACACGTCCAAGTGACTCATGGTGATCGGGCTGATGATGATTTTACCTACGTATTTTCAATTGAGCAAAAAATCTGCCTGCTATTCACCGATCTGTTGTTCATGGGTGAAGGGAAAATGTACAGTGAACTATGAAGACTAACAGTATCAACATCCAATTAGACTTGATTATCGATGATTGGGGAAATATCGGAAATTTCCCTATTGTAGGTCACAACGACGATTGTGCAAGTCTATCTGAATAGAAGTTTGTGAGCCCAAAAGCCAATGAAATTTCATATATACATTGCAGTATGCGGGGGGCTGCTTGTGTTCGATGTGCAAAACACAGGAAAGAGAAGTCCGTGGGCCCAAGTCTCAGTAAGTGCATTACCAGGATTCCACACTCAAATTAATTGAACACTAACATAGCCGCCAACAGTCTGCTCACTACAACATCATACAACCGTCGTTAGAAAGGATAAGTATTTAGTTTAGGCGCTTGGAACCGTGGGTGAATTCCGCTTCCATAGGTAAATCCTAGATCTTTCATGGAGCTTGAGTTGGTTAAAAAACGCTTAAAAATTAAATGCTAACAGAGAAGGTTAGTTCGACTATTACCTAATGTGCTCCATTCAATTCTCGAGTCAGCTGAATAGCCGATAAGCTGGTGAGCCATTTTCCTTGCAAAATTTCTCGCTCGCACGAGAT